ATTACAGTTCAGTTCATAATTTGCAGTCTGCAGTACACAATATTTACTTTACAGTTCTTATTACTTCGCCACGTCTGGCTAAAGCAGTATCCACGGTTAGGGTTCACCACATTCACATGCCAAAAGGCTACACACACACACACACACACCCCTCGGTAATATCAGTTAAATAGATTTTTTCGTCTTTTAAAGATTTTTATGTTATTCTTTTACTAAATTTATTTGCTACTAGATGACCTATTCAGACATCCACCTAATTATATGTCATAATATATATATATATATATTATACATCAATAAACCTACACAATAAACACAATATATACACTTTATATGCACAATTATTGACTCAATTAAGTATATGTAAACACGCAACACATACAATATAAATATACTTGTATATTTATACAAGGTATATATGTATTCTATAAGCAGACACATACAAGTTGTTCACTCATACATACACACATTGTACAATCTATAATCATTCATATATATATGCATCACACACACCCATAACTCGATAACTAACATGCATAAAATCTGCATATTCATACAAGTAATAATATGAATACATAATTATATGTCATACACAACATCATGTAGGTTCCAATCATATGCAATTGCACACGCATGAATATGATGAGTTCGAAGAGCTTGTGATGGAAAACACAAAAAATTTGTAAATTTTGTAAATAAGTCATTTCAACGGAAAATAAGGTTCTATAAAAATATAGGAGCCTCTGAATGAGACTGACCCAATCCCTTACCTACAGTCGAGTCGAAAAAAGTGTCAGAATCCTTATTGACTTGGGTCTACGCTCTCCTCTAAATCTTCACTGTCACTTGGTTAATTTCTTCGTTCACAAATACATAACACACGTATTAAACAATGAGAGATTTATAGAGACGAATCCAACAAAAATTAGTTTTACCTTAGGCATGCGATCCCGCTTGCTGGAGTCGCCATGCACCACCGCCCGCGTGCCAAATACAACCGTGCATAACCACAAAAAAGACGCGCTGTTGCACGCCTCCACACGATGTTGTCGGAATGTACATGTGTTGCCGCTGGAGATTGCCACGCGCCGTTGTTGAAAACTGTCATGCGTCACTGCCGGACCACCGTATGCCACCAGGAACCGATCAGAACATGTCGCAGAATGCGCCGTACGCTCAGATATGATATAGATTAAGTAAAATCGTGCCGAAAAATGGTGCGGATGCATTAAATCGCACTTTGGTCGTAGTGCTCCAATCTCCTTCCTCGGCGTTACTCCGCCACACGCAGCTCCTCTTTCTCTCTCCCTATTTTTGATTCGCCGTAGATGGGGAATGATTTGGGTGTGCCACCGCCGCTGCCATCTCCTCCTTCTTCTTATTCTTCCTTTCTTCCCTCTCTTTCTCTCTTTCTTTCTACCTTTCTCTCTCTTTATCCAATCTATCACTTTTTCTCGCCTCTCTCTTCTTCTTATAAGCGGAAAAAAGAAGATTCCTCCATGCCTCGCCTCCTCCTTCAAAGGTGTGTACGCCTCATCTTCTTCTTCTTGCAAAGGCCTGTTCGCCTCTACAATTCCTCCATTTTTTTTTTCTTTCTTGTCATTAAAACGGCTCTCAAAATGATATCGTTTTCACCTCATTTTCTTTTTTTTTTCTTCAAACCAAAACGGCATCATTTTAGAATTTTTTAAAATAACATCGTTTTGACCTTTGCTGCTTTTAGGAAATAGGTGGGTTGGATTTTAATTTTTCTTGCGCTGGGGTGTTACAAACAAAATGATTAATTTTAAAAAAATTACCTCAATACTTGGAAGGTAATCGCATTAATGGAATGTATGTATATATATTTGCTTCCGTGTACATGTATGTGTGGCAAATCTTTTCCACAATCCGTAGTGAACCCACTAATCCTCATTATCAACTTTCAAAATTATCCCAATCATTGTATAATTAAAAATTTTATTGAACTAAAATTAATTTAATTAAAAATTCTATTAATTAGATTCTGTTAATCAACTATCTAATTTGAGATTTCATTAACATTAAGATTATCTAACTAAAAACTATTTAATGTACTTAACTAAACGTTTTATTGGACATGAAATAATTTGATAAAAAAAATTCAATTTACCTGAACTAAAATTGGTAATTAAAAATTTTATTATTATTATTACTATTATTTTCTGGATTGTGTTTGAAACCAATTTTCCAAACAGACAAGAGGAAACGAGTAAAGAGAACAGTGTATATACTGTTTGTGGTAATGAATGCTACTCTGGACAAACACCAAGAAAGAATTAATTATGGACAATCCACAGAGCTCTCTTAAAGTGCTTCACCACTAAATATTTACTTCCTTTTTCGTTTAATTTCTTTTTTTTTCTAATTAGAATATAGTATTTGCAAAGAAAAAAGATTTATTTGATTAATTAACGTAAAAAATCAGTCGTGTAAAAATAAAGGCCACGCCATATATATATGTAATACATATAAGAGAAGGATTACTAGAAACATCTCTATCATTTAGAAAGCAGAAACCTTTCAGTGGCAGTGGAACTTTTCGAATATTCAAATATATTCATTCATATATATATGTGTGTGTGTGTGTGTGTGTGTGTATGTATGTGCAATAATTGTCCACTTCAATTTAATGCTCAATGATTCATTAATTCAATGTTCCCCTCAAAAATATTGAGAGGATTGTGTCATTCCTTTCCAATTGAGTTATGAAGAGCACTATTTATCATGTTTCAGGTGATTGGAAATAGATGGCATTAAATATTTGTTGGAATAGATGATGGTCTCAGGATGACAATACAAGACACCAAAGCCGCTCTAACTTTAAAAAACATGTGTTGCCGTAATCTTATTTTTTAAGCATT